AGCTGTTTGTTTCTAACCCTTCTGGCAGCCATGACCCTCTCAACACCACATGGGGAAAATTCCCCTACTCACAAAACCTCCAAAGAGAAGACATTTGTTTAAAATTCTGCCTCTCTCTCTAAGCTTTATACTCTTTGATTTTGCTCATGCATTACAAACTTGATCCTCCTAAGTAGCCTCGACTGGCATTTTCTCATTGACCTCAATTAAGTGAGACCAGGACACAGATAAGGTTCTGTGTGAGAAATCACTGTATGCTGGTAATTGCAGCATCTTATTCAAAGACATATTTTATCTGTGTTTTTTGAAATTAAAATAGGATAGGAAAGAGGGGGAGAAAAAAGCTCAGGCAGAAAGGCTGGCATTTTAATTTTTTTTCAGGTTGCTTCAGTAGTAGATTGACCTCCCTCAGATAAATCTGTGCACCATGGAAACTATTTTCTCACTGAGGAAAAATTTGCAAGTTCAGCTGAAGGCCTATACATCAAGTTAAGCATATAGCCAAACTGTGTAACTGTGTAATCTTACTGCCCTCTTCCCATCCTTCCCTCCCGTTGTTTGTCATCCTTACTATCATATCTGGTTTCAAAGCAGGGTAAGGTCACTGGGGCAGGGCACGTGCCTTCCTCTGTGTTTGTAGAGCTCCAGTACGTGGGAGTACGGGAAAGAAGGGGAAGGAAAACACTTCTTTAGATCTTTGGAGGATAAATACAAAAGCAATAATACTATGCTTTAAAATAAATGCTATCAATGGATATTTACACAGTCTTTTATCTAAAGTCTCTACTGTGTTCAGCATAATTATAGTGCTGCTCAGTAAAATACAGGTGGACAGAACAGTAATTCTTTTATTGCTATCTGGCTTTACTGCATATTCACAGTTAACCTACACTCTCCAGGTCTAAAATAATAATGAGTTTATATATTAGTACCTTCTGTAAGCACGAATGAACTGTGATCATCTGCAGAAAGGAGAACTTTGTGACCGGACAATTTTTACAGTATGCATAGGATCCACCCAGCAACAAGGGTCAGACCAGCAGCCACTGACAGCTATGTTCAAGCAGTTTCACGTAAATGATGGCATATATAGCAAAACACAGCCTGTAGATGCAAAATCTAGAGTTCATTTTTTTACCCTCAACTCTTTGCATATAAGAAATGTATGAATGACTCTCTCATGTTTTTTATCTAAGCATATCACAAATATCCGAGGATGTGGAGTGGGATATTGCCCTCTAAGACAGCCTCAAAGAGGCAGAAATGCCAAAAATAAATTAACTGAGACTCAAAGAAAGTAAAGACAGAGGAGAAAGAGATTACAGCAATGAAGTTTTTTAGGAGTGAATCTAATAGAAAGGAAAAGGAAAAAAAGAACTGACAACAGTAAATTCTGTTTCCTCCCAGTATCCAGTGGATTTCAACATCCCCTGCCCATGTTTTTCTTACATGTCCTATATGAATTTTGCAGCTTTACAATAAACTCTTTCTTGTTGTAGGAACCCAATTGTCACAAGAGACGATTACAATTTGAATGGCAGTGTCGAAAGTCCTGAAGCGTCTGTGTGCCTATGACAGTATAGAGAATCCAGTCACAGATCAACATTACCTGAACATGTACACACCTTGCAGTAGTTGAACATAAGCTCACTAATAGACAAGTTTCAGCTTTTAAAGAGCAATGCATATATGTAACACTTAAGCCACAACTTTTGCAGGCAGCACCTTAACTTCATTGTAACAAAATCTGTAATATATTTTTTAGGCATCAATTTATGGGGAGCAAATTTAATTTTTTTAATTACCTTAGTTTCCATTCATAATGTGCGTGCTTTTTGAAGAACAACACAGCAGACAGTAATAGGGGTTTAAAACCATTTATTGTCATCTGATCTGCTGTGCTTTTTAATTTTTTTTTAATTCTTCAAGTTATGTGCATATATATATATTAAAAAACATTCTTACATGTAAGCAAGTTTGTTAGCTGACATGAAGAATAAGGAATGAAATTAAGCAGAAGGCAATGTAATTCATAGAGGAGGAGAGAACTGGTGTTCTGCAGGCAGAATCTTCTCTGCTATTTAACTGTTCGTTTTCATGACATATATCTCTGTAGTCGTAGACCCTATCACTCTGGTAGGGATAATGCTTAACATAAACATGTTATATGAAACAAGAGGTACACCCTTTTTTGCCTTAGAGTGCACAGAATTTATAGAGATTATCTGCAGGTCGTCCCCTTAGCTCCCGTTGAAACCCTGATTACAAGTGATCCTGTAAAAGTTTATCAACCTTCTTGGTGGTGCCAGCATAGATGACAATGAACGAGTTTTATCTCCTTTGTTTCATGATTCTGTATTTAGAACATGTAACATCAGAGGTTCCTATTTCTCCTGCAATGTACATGCAGTCGTCCTCACGTGAACTGCAATACTTTCTTCATTAGCATATGCTGTTAATATGTTCATTAAATTCATGTCACATTGTAATTAATCTCAAAATGATGTTATTTCTGCAGAACCTACAACCTCATTATGTTCACAGTATGTACATCAGAGCCATGTTATTTCTGAAAGAGGTATGCCTCTATTTGGTTATTAATCAGGGGGTCATTTCTGCCCAATTTACAGCAATTAACTCTTTACAAGAAATCATTCAGAAGCCTTGGAGCAAGATACTAAGCAGTAAAGTTATTATATGCTTTAAAAAGAGAAAGACATTTCTGCATGGTAGTGTTTATTTATAGAGCATATTTAATAATCCATACAAATAAAAAATAGAAAAAGAGAGAAAAAAAAGATTCAGCACACTGGGATAAATATATAAGGCTAAGCAGGATTAAAAACCTAGGAGTTAGCTAGTCACCATGAATTGCCAAACAGAGCAATGATACTTGAGTTCTAAGGAGTAAGATGATGGTGAATCTGATTTTAAACTCACACTGAGCAAAAAAATGATTTGCCCATAAATGGTTGTCCATACTGTAGGGATAAATCAAAATTATCCTAATCAAGTGTTGCTGAAGAATGCATGTTTAGTCTCCAGGTCAGTAGGACAGAGTTCAGCCCACTGTTTCATTTTCAGCAATTTGCAACAAAATAAAATGTCAAAGACTATCTTTCCTTGTAGGTAAACGTTGTGCTTGCTAATAAAAACATTTTTACCAGGTGCAAGTGTTTATTTTTTTCCTCTTGGAATGTAACCAAATGTTACATTTTTATTATAATGTAACCAAATGTGGTTTTATGTTAGAGTTTCCAGGACAATTTACACCAAGTATCTGTTTACAACTGTAAGCAAACTTACTGTCCTCAGAAAAGAATTAAATGTCATGGGTGGCTTTTGCAAATTATGAGAAATAAACTAGGATGATCAGCTATACAAATATACTTTACTAAAAAGAAATTTGTGACTGTTAGTGGCAGGAATTAATGTAGCAGGAATTCAACATAACTTCCCAATCTGACTGATACCAAACACCATGGCTTTTGGTGGGCCCAGATTTCACACTCAGCATTTGGCACCCAAAACGGTTGATTGGCAGTCTATCAGCTACTGCCCATACAGATTTCACCCTGCCTCAGGTTCCGGGTCCTTCAGAGGAATTGCAGCAAACAGAAGGCACGTTCCAAGAACTACACCTTTAGTTTTTCAGGAGCAGTATAGCCACAACGAGCAAAGGAGACATTAGTGAACAAACGTATTTTAATAATTGATACTATGGCTCTCTGTAAATATTGATAGTTGATAAGATACTCACTTTAGTAAAGTGTTTCTGAGAAAGAGGAAGACCAAGCAGTAAGTTCTGGGAAAGGAAGTAACGCTTGGCAAGGTCCTTTTTAATTGCTTTTTCAAAAAGATGCGTTAATCAAATAATAAATAAGTCTTGCTTTTCTTCAGAATTAGGGGTATGGCGAGCTTAGGCTGCAGCCTGCTAGCCAGAACAGTGCGGCAAACAAACTTCTGAGAGGAAACTCAGCATATTTATGAATGGGATTATTGGTGTGGTTGCCTGCCGCAGCAGGGAAAGGATTCACTGCCCCCGGAGGCAAGTTTCCAGTCCTGTGCCAACTCATATGATTATTTAGATGCTCTAAAAAGTCCCTCTGAAGCCCTGTAGCGGCTCAGGGAAAAGGAGGACTGATGTTTCAAATTTCTGTATTGCTCGTGGCAACGTCAGGGAGCTCAGAGCTGATGAACGGTGATATACGGTTTCTCTAGGTGTTTGTTTACCCATTGGGATAACTCGAAGTCTGCAGATCGTTTACCAACACGGATGCTGGTGCATCGGCTGCACGCTTCAGTGAGGGATGCCTTATAGCTTCCCGCGGTGTAACTGGTAGTTCTATTCTTGGAAGAGTTTGCAGAGCCAAGTGGACGGCTTCGGGTACCCCGTGGAGGCAGGGGGGTGTGTACGTGCGTGAGTGCGAGAACAAAAGACATAACCCCCGGGCCGAACGCGCGGGTTTGCGCAGCAGACGTGCCGCAGCTCGTCCCAGCCGCAGCGGGAAGCGGGCCAGTGGCCGCGCTTCTGGTCCTGAGAGGGACGGAGGCAGCTCTGTCACCGTGGCCCCCGGCCAGGGGCAGGACCCCCGGCGGTGGCTCCCGGCCTCAGGCGGGCCGTCTCCCGGCCTGGCAGGCACCGCCCGCCCGAAGGCAGCCCAAAGATAAGACCCCGGCGCGGTGCCGGCCGCCGCCGCCGCCAGCATCCACCCTTCTGCTCCCACCCGCGGCTTGGCGGCGGGACGGGACACGCCGCCCCGTTCGGCTCCCGCCGCTGCCTGCCGGGCGGGCCGCCTCTCCTCGCCCTCCCCACTCCCTCCCTGCCTGCAGCCGCCGACCCCCCTCCTCCCCCACCCTCACCTCAGCCGCCCCCCTCTGTCTGGCTCCCCCCGCTCTGTCTGGCGGCCCCCCCGTCCCCGCCGCGCTTCTCGCGAGAGCTGGGGATGCCGCCGCCGTCGCCGCCGCCGCGGAGGGGGAGACACTCGGGGGGAGCCAGTGACGTCGGGAGTTTTCCTGAAAGTCAATAACGAGCCCGGCGGAGGCGGCGGGAGGAGCCGAGAGCGGGGCCCGGGCGGCTCCGGGGTGAGTGCGCTGGGGGGAGCCGCCGCCGCCGCCCTCCTGACCCCGCGCATCGATGCTGCGGCCGCGCTGCCCGCCCGGGCGCCTCCCTGCGTAGCGGGGCGCGCAGCTCCATGTAGCGGCCGCCGCCGCCAGCGCCCTGGGGCCGGAGCCGCCTCCTCCCGCCCCCGCGGAGACACCGGCCGCCAGGGACCGCCGAGCACGGCGGGGGGACAGGGGAGGAGGCAGCGGCGCCCTCCCTCCCCTTCTCCCCCCGAAGCCGCCGCCGCCGCCCCTCCGGCCCCGCAGCAGCGCCCGCGGCGCCGCCGCCTCTGCAGGTACGGGGCGGGAGGGGCCGGGCGGCGGAGGGGCGCTTGGGCGGCGGCGCGCCAAGGGATGCGGGGCGGTGGCGCGGCCGGGGGCGGCGGGGAGCGCGGGGCGGGGGCGCGGGCGCCCGTGGCCTAGCGCTGCCGGCGGGGCGGGAGCGGAGGGAGGGGACCGGAGCCGGGGGGTGGGAGGGGGTCGCCGTGCCGGCGGCGCGGGGCTGAGGTGGGGAAGGGCGGGGCGGGGAGCGGTTATGTAACGGGGCGGGGGGTGGGGGAGCAGGGGCAGGGCAGGGCGCGCGCCCGGGGGCGCTGCCTGCGCGGGGCCGTCGGTTCCCACGCGGCGGCCCCTCCCCGCCGGGTGCGCGCCAACCTGTACCCCCTTCCACCCCCCCCCCCCCCCCAGCCTGCCGCGGCCGAGCGTGTGCGGTGCGTGTCCGCGGGGCGGGATGGCGGTGCTGGATGGCGGTGCTGGATGGCGGGGCTGCGAGCGGTGTTATCCGCTGGGAACTTCGGTGCCTGCGTGCGCCAGCGAGTGTGTGTGTGCGAGTGCGTGTGTGTGTGTGTGTGTGTGTGTGTGTGCCCGCGCCCCTGCGCTAAGAACAGCAGCGCGGCCGACGGGCCGCTGATGGCAGCGCCTCCCTCCCTCAAGTGATGCTGCTGCTGCCGCCGCTGCTGCTGCTGTTGCTGCCGCCGGCGGCGGCTCTGGCTGCAAGTAAACAAACCGGCCCCCCCGCCCACCCCGGCCATCATGGAGGCCGCGGCCCACATGTTAAAGTTGATGCGCGGCCGGCAGCTAACGGCTACCGGCAGCTCTGCCGTGCGGAGCGGGGGCTGGGCCTGCGGCAGGGCCTGCCCCGCGGCGAGGCCTGCCCTGCCCTGGCGAGAGGGGAGGCGAGGCGCGGTGCGGGGTCCGCAGGTGCTGCTGCGGGGCGGAGCACATGGGTGCCCTAGGGTGCCCCGGTGTGCAGGGACACGGTCAGGAATGCTGGGAACACGTGGTGCGGGGCTGCTCCGACGGGTCAGCACAGCGCCGCTGAGCAAAAAGTTACTGGATCACACCGTTATATACCGTAGTTTCAATGCAAATGGTCGTGATGTAACGAGCAGTGACAGGCTTGTAGGCTGGTCGGTTGCTTTACATGAGCTGTGCTGATGAGTTTACTTTGGGATGGGAATCTGAGAGGCGTGAAATAGCCAGTTCACGTTCTCCCATTATGTGTTATTTCAAGGGTGTATGTAAAAAACCCCAAACTCCTTCCCCCAAACTTACTTTCTTATAGCTGTAAAGGAATAAAGAATTTAAAGAATAATTTGAGAATATAGAATTTAGAATAAAGAATTTCTTGGCCTTTATTCTAGATATTTTTCTTTAATAATCAGTTGGCTGGCTACTTGTGCATATCTGCATCATCTCATTGTTTTTATGAAAACATATCTCTGACTTGATTCACTTGGCCTCTGTTCAAGAGTTTTGTTATGATGGACCTGATACTTACATTGCCAGCTTTTTTTTCAGTACTGGATAAACATGCAGCAGTCTCTTCTGCTTTCCCTAAAACTTTGCTAATAGGGAAACACAGTTCCCTCTGTTTTGCATACAGAGGTCTTTATTTCTCAAGGCAAGAGGCATGCAAATCAGTAGATCTACACTTTTGACAAGTAACATTTATGCATGATCTCTTGTTTCTGCCAGCTTCAGTAAAGGCTGGTTCTGGCTGTTCTGCACTGGAATGTGGAAAGAGTGTACATGAGATAGGGAAGAAAGTTTATTTTGACTTTTAAAGTAAGTGCTCTGCTTAAGAAGATTCTGTTTGTAGGGCTGTTTCGTTCTGTGCCTTTTTGGCAGGAGTGTTTACATTGACCCCAATATCTTTAATTGGATTGGGTTGCTAACTTTATAGTTCATGTGGATATATTTTGCTTGGATGCAGCCAGTAAGTCAAGTTCAAGTAAGGGCCAACAAAAAACTGGAGAGATAAGAACATATCTCTGTTTCCTAGAAGGCTACACATAACATTTGAATAACGCATTTTCTGATGTAATATAAGTGCATGGTACGTGCGTGTACACAGGTAATATTAACAAGACTGTCTTGGTTGTGATAGTTTATTCTACAGTGTATTCCTACTTACTTTGACTAGGTTTGAATGAATTCAGTAGTCACCGTAGTTTCATAGAGGTTCATGGAAAGCAGTATTTCAGTGGTTTACTCCCTCATTTGTTTTGGGGGAAGATGATGTTTTTAAGAAAAAGCAGCTGTTTTGCAGGAAGCTATTGATAATTCAGACAAGTACTAGTTTGCACTTTGCCCCAGTTGAAGTAGGTGCAGTTTTAAGGATTGAATGGCATTAATTTGCCCTAGAAAATGTTGACATTTTGACACTGTAAGAAATGCTTTGTGAAAGGGAAAATGTCTTGGTGTTTTGTTTTTTTTTTTTTTCTTTAAGCTTAATGTAAAACCACTTACTAGGATTCTGCTATTGTTCGTAACCCAAGCTTCTGACTGCAAGATGTTACCATAAACCATATCTTGACTTCTGACTACAGTTTGAAAAAGCATGTGTCTGAAGTTTGTATAATAACTAAAGGTTCCTTCAGACTACTTGGAATTTGTCTAACACTGATTCATTGGGTGTTCATTCACTTTCTGCATGCACATTTTCCCAGTTTGAAGAGACCTGTTGAATAATCATTTCTGTACCCAGGAAGCAGTTCTTGCTGAATGATTTTTAAATACCCAATTGTTTTGGAAGGAATGATGCTGCTACTTCAGTGATTCCTGTTAAAATACATTTGAAATCTCTGTGCTGTTCTTAGTATAGAAAAGATATAACTATTTCTTCATAACTGTATTTGGTTATAGTGTCATTTTGTGCTGTTAATGCAACAGGGGGAGGTGGCCGTGGTGACAAGCTTTCCTTGAGTTTTGTGACAGAGACCCAGTATTCCTTGGCATCTTCTGTGGCTTGGGCTTCTAATTTTAATTGTCACTGGAGAGGGGAAGGACATTGAAACACACTGAGTGAAAACTTTCTTGTACCATTTTTCCATTTTGATATGGATAATGCATAGATTATATGTATTAAAAGCAATGCACTGTACTGTAACTGTATTTGTGTGTTGCCTTTATGCCAAAAGCTCTCTGTTCTCTTTCTCCCAACTAATAAACCAAGCATTCTGTTTGAAGTGTGCAGTCCTTCTATTGCAAACAACAATAACAATTCATGAATAGGGGAATAGTTAAATGTGTGCATCCGTGAGTTTTGTTTAACATTAAAACATTGCTTTTATTTTCAGTATTTGTATGAAATTTCCAACACAATTTGGTACTGTTTTGATAAGAAAGGATTGCCAACTGAAGTGCCCTTTAAAACCGTTCTAGAGTATTAGATTAACCTGTGTCATCTCAGATACTCATTCTGTTAGGATATGCCTAATAAGAATAAGAATACTGGGGGTGGGGGTGGTGGTGCAGGTGATACTTCCTAGCACAGCCTGTGCTTCAGGGAGCTCTGCATTGCTTGTGAGGAAAGGTGTGTTTTCGGTGAGAACCTCTCTTGTCCACCAGTATCTTTGCTCTTGTCCAGAAGAGGCTTCCCCAGAATCACAAGGTCTCCTTGGTAAATGTGTTGCAATAGTTACTCTTCTTTGTAACAAGTTGGTGTGGTGTAGAAGAGATTATTTTGTAAAGATAAGTTACATAGTAAATGGAAAAGCTGATTCAAAGCGCTGTGTTTTTTTTTTTTTTTTTTTTAAAAAAAGGGAAATATTTAAGTCAGAGAAACCAAAACCTACTGGCAAATAATAAAACATCAAATGTGAAAGTTAACTTTTTAGTGTTTCACATAGTATAAAAAGTAATCTTTAAAGTTTTGGTTTATATTTTCATTTTGACTAACTGTATGGACAACATTCTGGGCTACCTATATGAAGAGTTTATAAATGAAGCTTATTTAGACAAATCACTAATACATACTAAGAAACAGATTGCAGAAAATGCAAGGGTGTAGTAGCCAATTAGTTGGCATTTTGTCCTTGTTCTACAGCTCTAGATCAGTGTTAAGTATGGGCATTCATGTAGTTTGGATGCATGGCATGGGTTTCAAAAAGATACTTTTTGTCTTTTTCTTATGTAAAGGTCTTGTTCAGCTCTAGTGGAAAGCTGTGGCAAAGATAATACTTAAAAAGGAAAAATCTTCAGACCCCCCCCCCCCCCGATTGAGTATTATTAAATGTTACTGTCAAGGAGGGTAAGCATTTTTGGCTTCGGTATATGAAGATGCATACTTCTGGTCACTTTAAATGTTTATTTGATTTTTTGGTGATACTTCTGTCAAACCTTGCTATGTTTAGCTTAAATATCGAAATATATGTTGAGTCCATCTTGGCCAGTCCTCTTTCTCCATGTATTTCTATGTGTCTAGGTGTGAGTCATCCTGATCAAAAATAGCATTAAGAACAAGTTGTTGCTCTGTAATTTGTTTTTCCACTGTAATATCCTGACAAAAGAACAGTAGTAATTTTTAAATTCCCTTACAAATGCAACTGTGACCTTAGCATTTCATATACATGTCTGAATATATTGACAGCATGTTTGTCAGACTTCCCTGTGTTGTCCATGTGCTGAAGTTATTCAAGTGCCTCCTGTAGCAGGAGCAGAGATGAAGTGCTTGCTTCAGCTTCACTGAGATCAGTGGTCTTGCCTTTTTGTAGGTGTGGAATGGCAGCAGTGCCCAACAGTCAAAAACTACTTATACAGCTGATTTAGAACCACAGAATTAATACAGTATTTCTCAGTTGAGTCCCACAGTCTTGCAAAACAATTTCTGCCAACCCACATAATTATTTTTTTTTTTTTTTGGTCCCCTAAGGATTTAATGTGCTTCTCGAGATGAGGGTGCAGCCTGCCTTGGGAAGTTTTATAAAAATTGTATCTTTTTCTAATTGTATTGATATACTTTGAGGCAGAGAGTTAAGGTTGCATGCTTGTTTCATGTAATCTGAGTTTTCGT